TCAAATCCAATTGCCACTCCTCAGAAGGCAGACTGGGCAATCTACTTCCATAGAAATGCCACCTTGGAAACCCAAGGAGGGGTAACTATGAGTCATGATGGCAGTCATGGTGTTAATGTATTTTGGAATGAAAAGGGCTAATTACTTCCTGGAAAACTTAAATTTACACTTAGTAATCCTATTGAGAACTGTTCTCACAAAATCGACTGATAGAGTTGATAAAAAATACAGAATGTCCTCATTATTTGAGTGCTGGGAAAAGACCAGCTTTACTCCATCCACATCATTATGGTCACCTCTACTCTGAGGAGGCAGCTCTTCCCCAGTCATATTTTGAGTGACTTCCAACCTGAGGGGCTCATCTTCCAGTAGTATATTGGAAAATGTTTCAGGGCTATTCATAAAGTTTTCCAGTAACTTATCAGACAGTGTTTCCCTGCTGTTCATAAGGTTTTCCCTGGCCAGTTCTTTGAGAATTGGATGGCCCCTTCCTTCTGAGTCTGTCTTAGTCTGGAAGCTCTGCTGAAACCTATCCACCATGGGTGACCCTGCTGGTATTTGAAACACAAGTGGCATACCCTCCAGCCTCACAGCAATAGGTAAGCTACTACACAGCATGACATACTGACAGACGAGTGGTGGTTTAGGTTAGCAGTGTAGTGCAAACCATTTGTGCCACCCAGGGGTGGACATAAGATGAGGGTGTAGAAAATTGCAGCCTGGGACGACAGGGATGTGGTGCGGAGCACAAGTCTCAGATTGAATGTGAAATTTAAACCATGGGTGCAATAAATTACTTGTTATGACTTTTCTAGCCATGGTCTTTGTGACAAGGTGTATGGAACTCTACTGTGGGGATTAGTTTTGTCATTCTGCTAGGCTTAAAATGAACCCTCCTAAAGGGAAGCCCTCACTGCCATCAAGAGAGAAGAGCTGGAGTTGGAGTGAAGCATATCCTTGGACTCAAGATCCCTGTGCTGGACCCCCTTGGCTGACATGACTGGCTAAGACGACAGGCCGAGATGGCGGTAGCAGTGAAACAAAGAGGCATGGACTTTCGGCCCATGGAGCAAGAAAGCTGAGTGCCTTTGGGCAGGAGACTTGCTGGCAGAGTGGGGTGCACCCAGGTTTAACTATCTGCAAAGCTAAAAGAGCTTTGTAACACTTGCTGGAGCAGGACAGAGGCCAGGCCCAGAAGCCAAGGGCCAGAGAGGTATGCATCAGGTCATGGCAGAGGAGAGATAGTCCTGATTGCAGAATTGTATCCTGAGAGCCTGAGAGCATTCCTGAACCTGAATTGTGGCCTGTTACTTCCCTAATAAACCTCAAAATCATGAGTATTGTCTGTGAGTTTTGTGTAGCCATTGCAATGAATTATCAAACCCAGAAGAGAAGTAGTGAATGCCATGGGAGGGACAGTTGGTGTGAGAATTGTTAAAAGGTCGAAGATTGGCAACATGTCTGGCCTCGTAGGAATAAGCCTCGGGCTGCTGATGGTGATTCTGTCTCCCTCTCATGAGACTGGAGGAGGTGAGAGAATGCCCCCTCCACTCCCTTTTTGCAAAACCAAAATTAGCACATAAGCATGAAAACATCAAAAGTTCTATACATTTAATTGCAAGAAAATATAAAATTCAAATACAAATTCAAAATCAACCCCCAAAACAATTTTTACTGAAGCTGATAAAGAATTAATATGGTTAAGAGTTCTTACAAGTCATAAATCTACAAAGGGCCTGAAGTTTGGACTTTCGGGAAATGGTCTTCCATCTGATAGAATGCATGGGGGATTCTGCAGTAAGCCTAGTGGGCAGAAGGACAGGGATCCAATCTTCAGAAGTCATTTCTCTTTATGTAATAGGGTCCAAAGGGTTCAAAATCTTTTGCCATTTTAGAAACTTGACATCCTTTGGTTGAGTTTATTGGCATCCTTTTGCCAATCATATTATGTCAGTGACAACCACACAACATGTCAGTTATTGAAACAAGTAAATGACAATTCACATTAGGAAAAAAGAGTGACTATCAACTATATAGGAGTTCTGGTGGTGGCCAGAGGTCAGCTGTTCAAACCCACCAGACACTCTGTGAGAGGAAGATGGGCCAATCTACTTCCGTAAACCCAATGGGGGTCGTGTTGAGTAGATTAGACCACTGTGCTTGAGGAAAAATGAAAACTAAAAATAGAAAGCTTTTCTTCATTCCTCTTTCTCCTCAGACAACATTATAATCAGGTATCACACTATATAAAAATGTATAAAAATCATGAAAAAGACATTGTTTCTACACAAAATTTACTCAGCTAATATTTACAATCTAATAATACCCAGTTAATTACTTATTACAGAACAAATGTGCAGTTTATCTCTAATCATGGCTAATTAGCTGATATACACAATTATACAATTATTTATAATATAGAATTACATTTATAATACCAATATACAATTATTTATATCCTCTAAAATAATAATATCCTCTAAAACCCCAGAGTTATTTAGTTGCAAAGCTTATAAAATCTACAAAAATTTATTCAGCTACAAAGCCTAAAAAAGAAAAAGAAAAAAAAAAAACCTGATACAATCTACAAAATCTTTCCATTCTAGAATATAGTGTCTCTCCCCCGGTCCTTCTGATGTTTCTCAAGGTCAAGTCTCATTCATCTTTCGGAAAATTTCTAGGAATTGAGTTTCTCATGGACAGATTCTCAGGGGGAATCCACTCCCATCTTCTCCAGGTAGTTCAGGACAGAAAAAAGGACGCAAAGGCCCCAAATATGATGGTAGACTGTGTGTGTAGATTAGGGCATCATTTCTGATATCAAAAAACTTTACTTCTTCCATCTCAACATCCAGGAAAATTCCCACACGGTGAAGGCTGGAGCTTGCAGAAATTCTGGTCTGTGGGAAGGAGCTGCTGTAGATTGTGCCTGCCTTCATGCTAATGATCCAGAAGCCATGCTCAGAGGATAAACTGTTCTTCCCTCTTCTGTCCACAGACTCCTTGCAAACACCCAGAGACCATTCTTTCCCTTCTCCCACTTCTACCTCCCAGTAATGGCAGCCAGTGGAGAAGCAGGGTATGCCAAGGACACAGGTCATGTGGGTAAATCTATTAGCATCTTCCATTGGGTCATTGCAGATCTTCCCACAATGAACGCTCCTGAGGTCACTGGAGAGGACAAGTAAGGGATTGGCGGTAGCTGCATCCAGGGTCACATCCTCTCGGAACCGCAAGAGTTCATCACTTAAGTGTAGCTTTTGTTCCAGCAGGGGGCCGTGCTGCTTAACGAGAAATGTCAATGCTGTCATTTGCCATTCTTCCAAAAGAGGTTTCTCAGTTATTCCTCGACACATAGGGCAGATCAGTATGCGCTCTTCCCTTTTTCGAGTCCAAGTTTTAATGCAATCAAAGCAGAAGGTATGTGCACAGGACAGAGAAAATGGTTTGGAGAAAAAATCCAGACAAACAGGACAAGTCACCTCTGCTTTCAGGCTCTTGGCCATGGTTCTTGAAGGTCAGCACTGAACAGAGCTAAAACCACTCTTTCTTAGCTTCTGGAAATGATCAGGAGCCCTGGGAATATGATCTGCTCTTTAGTATTCAGGTTATATCTGAAACCACATGTAGAAAAAGATCCTAAGTTAATATGAAAAGTGGACAAAGCAATGCTGGCTCTTTCAGAGCTGATGGTGTTCAGACAACAGAAGTTATCCTTTCAAAAGGGCAGCTTATCTTGTCTGAAAACTTCTAGGTGAGAGCTGAGCTGAACTGGGTCTTTATTGGATCTAGGAGTACAGTTCCACCTCTAATCAGTATTCCTGCACTTCAAGAATCAAAGAATTTCCACATCTAAATCAACCATAAAAAAAAGAAAGAAGAGCCAATCCTACTCTACCCATCACATACAGGTGACTATAAGTGATCCCCAGAATTAAAAACCAATTACCATCTAAGGAAAACTAACAAGATCCACACAAAATGAACTGCCGTTTATAAAACCATAGAATTTTAAGGACAAAATACGGTTCTGATTAAATGCATGAAAGTTCTCTTGGAAAACTAATCAAGACTTAAGTAAATGTGAATAAAAATAGCATTGGTGTTAACAACTCTAAAATGATACAGAAGCAAAAAGCCTAAAAGGCATTCATGACAAGGCAGTCTTCCACCAGTTACCCCTGCTGCTGCCAAAGCTTAAGAATCGTGGTTGTACCTAGAGCTTCCCTCAGCTTTACAATGAGGCTTCCTTACTTTGGATAAGCTAACTCTGACATGCTAGGCATGGCTGATTGAACCAGGTGAGCCAATGACCCAAAGACAGCCTGTCTAGTCAATGATTGTGAGGGGCTATGCATCCATAATCCTTCCCCAAAAAAAGCCTACACTGAGTAACTTTTGGTTTTGGTTACCTAGTGCCGCTCCGACAGGAATATACCACAAATGGAATGGCTTGAACAAACAGGAGTTTATTCTCTCACAGTTCGGGAGCTTTAAGTCAAAGTTCAAAGTGCCAGGTTCTAGGGGCTGGGTGAAAGCCCCTCAACCTTGGGCTTCAATTCTGCCTCCTACTCCCAGCCCACTGAAACTAGAGGCTTTTCTTCACTCAGATAGCGATTGGCTGCTGAGACTTACAAGCCCAAGGCTGATAAGTAAAAGGGCACAGTCCTGATGTTACCAAACCACACAGCAGACCATTAATTCAAGTCCATCGGAAGTCTCAAGGTTGGCAGAGTGTGGCAGGCTGCTGAACAACATGGCTACATGCAGGGTTCAAGTATGCCATAAGCTGGAGACCATTCCCAAAGCTGTTTGTTGTATACAGGAAGGAGACCACATATCCAAAGCAGCTACTCAGCTGCTCCAAAAGATTCCACCATGGAGTAATTACCAAGCTCACCATGGGGAATAACTACATTCAGCTGCCCAGCCACTCAACCAGCCCCAGCCAAGTTGACACACAAACTTAACCACCATGCTTAAAAAAAAAAAAAAATTGTTACTAAGAATTCAAGAATCACACATTCAGTTGTGAATGAATTAAGATTCAGAGATAGAAATAGGTGCAGTTAATAATACTAGAGACAGCAACACAGAATTGATTCCAAAGGATCAAAAGCAATTTAATTAAGTAACTATAATGCAATGAGGAGCTCTGGTAGCATAGTGGCTAAAGCACTTGACTGCTAACCAGAAGGAAGGACTCCTCGGAATGAAGGTTGGGCAATCCTACTTCTGTAGTGATACTGCCTCGGAAACCCAAGGAGGGGTTGCTATGAGTCAGGGCCGACTCGACCGCACATAACAACAACAACAACATAATGCAATGATTAGATTACAACTAAATGTGGCAAGTAAACTTAAACTTTACCGAGGAAAGTCTTT